TCATGTAAAACAGAACTGCTGACATATATTTTTTTTAAAACTTGTTATGGTGCCCTTTTACTTTTGAATAGCCATGTTTTACATAAGATGTTCCGACAGTATCTCTGTTTTTGCTGCAGTTAACCAAGTATGTATCACTGTCTGTACCACAACCCACTCCTTAAATGCCAACACTAGACTAAAAACAAAGTAATAATTAATCAAGAAATTTATGAGGAAGAAAGCAATACTCAATCAAGCTCTATAACTAATCTAACAAAACTGAATTAAGTCATTAAGAACATATTGCTACAGAGGACTTCATTAGGTCCACAGGATAAGTTTTTGAAGATACTGAGAAGACAGACATTTAGGCTAAAATTAAAAGATGAGCTCCATCTTCGAGTTCCAACACACAGATACACAAAATTTCCTTATACACTTTAATCACCATGGATTTTTACCAAAAGAGTATTTTTCTGCAAGTGTGGGATTGGCTGTTAGATGTTAATTTTGAAAATCATACGGAAAGAAAATACGGCCAATGATTACATAACAACAATATAATGTCAAAAATGACCACAACATTCAGTTTCCTATGAAATATCCACACTCTTATTACACTAAAAGCAAACTCACAACATTTTACAATAATGAAGCAACAAAAAGATGCACAAATATGTCTGGAAGATAAGGCATTTGAGCAGTACAAACTGCCCTATTTGATTTATGATCATTTATCTTGAGAGTAGTTGATTCAATGCAACAAAATATACAGGCAGACTTAAGCCTAGTCTGTTTTATTTGCATGTGTATCATCAACTACAGAAAAAAGAACAAGCGTGCTGACAAATGGGAGGATTCAAACAGTGGCTTGTTTATTAAGCCTTCCTATTAAGTATGCTATGTTAGTAAACTGAGATAGTATACCTGAGTGGAGTTAGATAGTTGGTTTTTCCACGGCTCCTCTGCGCTGCTGGTCAGGTTTGTGCGGTTATGAGGTAGAGAGAGTGCGTTTTGCTGCAGGTAAGGCACGTTTCCATTACTTCCACTTTCTGTTATGTGATTATTGCCTATCAAAATAGTGTCTGTACTACTCAGCGTTCTTGCTGTGCTGCAGGGAATGGGGCCTGCTGGAAAGGGTCCATTAGCCATAGGCTGCCCAGGGCAGGCCGGACGGATTCCACGCTGAGCGACATTAGGCACTCTGGTTAGAGCAACCTGCGGCTGCTGACCAGAGACAGAGTTTGTAGGCAGTGATGAATCAGCTGTTGGCCCATTAGGAATTCCAGTAGATCGTACCTGTGCAACTCCTGTTTGTCTCATCTAATGGAGGATGAACAAAGCACAAGGATGTTAGCTATAGAACTTAAGGTTACAGAATTTAAGAAGTAAAGATCATATTAGGCTTGTGTATTTTATATTGCACTTTTCAATTTCAACTGATTTTGACACCTTCCCAGTTGCATTTGAGAAGTAAGAGGACCGTCATGCTCACAAACGCGCTGAGTGAATTTTAAGGTAAAGCTATTGGCACACTTTTCTTCTAGGCTCTTCAGTTTGACTGTTAGCATTATACTGCTAAAGTTGGACACTAAGAGAGAAAAGTGAATAATGAAAGCATGAGAGAAAGAGCTGTGATATGGCTTACTGCAAGTAAGTGTTTTTCAACTCATACTGCTATTCATGCATTCACTCACTTCAGTTTGAAAGTGTAGCTTGAAATGTTTTACACTATCTAGTAGCCCTATAATAAAACACAGCTAAAACCATTAACTTTCACAAGTAAATCACACTTAAACTTTGTATGAAAAAGATGACAATGTAATATCAAAAAGGGCATGAGAACTCTGTACAATACAAAACCTTAAGAATGCAAGAAACACAACAGATGCCATCATCAATAATAAAAGTTTTGTAGAACAGAAAAATATTTTTGTTCTCACTTGCTGGTGTTGCTGCATCAAGACAAACTGACTCTCCAGCTGCTCCAGCATAAGTTTCTGTGCTGGATTTAAATTATTTCGGTTTGCACGTAGCTGTTCCAAGTGCTGAAAAATATCAACCAGTATAGTTTAGAATTATCACAAATGTATGCAATTTTTAATGACCTTCTTGCATACATTACTGAAAATTATCCAGGAAGACAAGACTTGCACAGCTAAAACAAAACTTGCAAAGCTAAAGACAAGATCAAGATTTCTGCTGCAGACTAAAACATCTTTCCATAAACTATTTTGTAACCAAACTTTATTAGTGGTTACTAAAAGTAAAGAGATCTTCAGAATTATTAGACTATATCTCATTACCACTTCATCACAATTAAGAGAACTGGTACTGTTAAGAAAAACTACATTAAGTGATGATTATTCAGAATTCCTATTATCATTATGTATGTTTTAACATTTTTGTACTGTTCTATTCTTTTAATAACATTGCTTAGTATGAAGTAAATTCAGTCTTACAGTCACACTTGAAAACTTCTCTAGAAAAAACACAAAAAATTCAGAATGCTATGCAACTTAACTACGGAAAGAAGTATCTGAAGATACGACCCTGAAATAATTTACAACTAAAATTTAAGTATTTGTTACCCAAAACCTGATCTTTGCATTCCTTTTAAACTACTCTCCACACACCTTCGGTTTATCAGTAAGTAACATCTTTCATATAAAGAAACAGCTGAAGAGCTATTTTGCAAGTTACAGGGAATACTGCTCAAGGAGCCTTCTGTTTCTGCACTATATTCTCTTCTACATTTCCTTGTATCGAAAATAGTAACTGTGACACACGGGCGAGGGTTTCTAGCTAAGCCTGGTTTTCAAAATGTGGAATTCCTGCTGAAGCTCACTGCAAATTCTAATGAACTGAAGAGATGACAAAAGCATCGTCACAAAAAAGACCTGAAACAAGATTTCAAAAACAAAATATATATAATATATAAAAATATTAAATGATGTGTAATACAGAAAAGTGGTACCAACTTTCATCTGATTAATTCCATTCTGTGCAATGTGTGAGTTCATGTAATTTGATACAATAAGATACCTCATAAGAAAAAGAGGATGCCACAATATTTTCACTTCTTCAACATTCTCCATGCTAAAACAAGTAGCAAAATACACTTGGCTTGCAAGTGTTACAATTTGCATATCTATCTTTAAAATAACATAAGTAGCATTACTGTATGCTCCTACTTAAATTATGCAAGTCAAACAAGATAAGCATTCAATTTCTACTAATGGTTGATTATTTTATTAAACAGCTAATCTTATATATTCCACACATATTGTACCCATCAATATTACAAGAATTTGTATTGTTTCCCATTTAATTTCAGAAATGTGAGCCAAAAGTATTTTTTTTCTAAAAAGAAGAAACTAACAAAAAATAAATCAAAGTTTCTGAAGATCTTCAATGTACTTACCTGTAATTTCTGTGGTGTCAAGCACCAAGAATGAATTTGTTGTTGTACAGGAGGATGTGACACTGTATGGCCACTGCTCCAAACATCTGAAGTATTCTGAGAGAAAACATTATGTTAAAATTCTTAACTATCAAAAGCTCAATATCATCTTTTCATATCTGGACTTTATCTTACGAAAGAACTAGTCATTTTACACAGAGAATATACTAATGCATGCCAAGACTCATTCTATCATTCCCACATAATACATAGTAGTTAGATGTAAAATAAGTGATATCTAATACCATAATGAGAAACAATCAAATAAAATTATGCAATTAACTTAAAGGTACACTGCTGTTAAAACCAGATAATTTTATCTACTATAACATTACTACATGATGATGAAACACTTGAATTCTAAATATAAGCAAAGGCTGTAGACAGGATGACATGATTGTCTCCCTCTCTATCCATCACCAGACTATGACTGTACTTTTCCACGTACACAACTATGCCTATAGTATAGTACTACCGATCTGTACTGTCCTTACACACTTCCTATCACAACTGTAACCTCCTTACCAAACACATCACTGAAAAATTTTCTTTAGAATTTCTAAAAACATTCCCCACCTTGATGCCAAAGGATTGAAATTCACGGCACAAATTGTGTGCATGCTGCATCACTTTAATGCATATTTCCATATAATTTTGGGAGGGGGCTCTTTAGTTCATCAGAATATATACCTTTGTTGGACTAGATGTTCTTTTCCTCTTGGCAGGACTGGTCAGGTCATCTACTTGGCTAGAAGGAATCATGTGTAGTGGCAAGGATTGCTGTGAAATTGGTGTTTGAGTGAGGCCTAGTACAGGTTCAGTATTTGGATGATGAGGTTTACAAGCCTAAGAATCACAGAAGACAAAAATATGGTTCTATATATTCTTAATTCTTTCCTTTAAACTACATATTTTAACAGCCCACATATTTTAAAAGGGCTGAGCAGATATTTTGAAGTTGGTCTCAAAAACTGAAAAATCAGTTTCCATATGGTCATCAATGGAGGAATGTGTACCTTTCAAGGGATTATTAAATCACTGTAGCATTCTATTTAAGATGAAATTTTTAAAATCATGAAAATCCACAAAGGTTCTAAATTGGTACCCCCATCTTTCTCCCATATTATAGGGAGCTGCTTCTTGATCTAGTATACCTTTGCAAATAAATCAAAGGCTTTTTATTAATAAAAGCCAGTCCTGCACTCAATAAAATAAGCTTGACCACTACAGATTGTAAAGAACCCTTAAAGCTGGGCACCTGCAGAACATAACCCAACTTCTCACCTGCTGTGCTGTGTTCATGGCACCCTGCCTGGAGGTAAGCTCTGCGGGGATTGGTAGGCTCCATGCCTCCTCAATACTAGGAAGTAATTTAGTTTTATTCTGTAGACTACCTTGTGGAAGGTTACACAACTGAGCCTAGGAAAAATTATGTAAAAAGCAAATTTAACACAAGCCTACTTTAGTAAGAGCAAGTCCATGAAATCTTCCTATATGCTGTAGCTAATTATGTTTTAAAGAAGAGGATAGATTTAAAATTTGGGGTTTTAGAAAGGTGCTAAGTATAAAGAGGGTAACCAGAATATAAACCTTTGTGAGAATCAGAACAAAGACGAGCTCTAGATTCACAGGTCTCATAATTCTTTTTTTTTTCTGAAATTGCAAACAAGAGTGAAAGATAGCACGTGTGTGTTCTCTATGTTATGAGAACTTAAAAATGTAGACAATACAAAGAAAAAAAGTGATGTAAAACAGTATGCATTGATTAAATATGTAAAATAGGGTCTACAAGTAATTAAATTCCACTTAAAAATGAAGAAATAAAATATTAGAGGCTATGATATGCTTACAATACGTATGAAAACAAGTTATACACACCACAAATGATTGTAAGTTAAATCTGTGTGTTACTTCTACCCTCCCCTCTGGTATGTATATGGAAGAATATTTCCCACATCTTAAAACTTTAGCTTTACCTGTAAATACTTTATCCGTGCTGCAAGTGCAGAGGTATTACTACAATTTTTGCTCCTAGTTGCATTTAAGTAGCATTTAATGGCATCCTGAGGCTGGTTGCAGGACTCATAGAGTGTGCCTAGGTCCATCCAGGCTGCAGCATGGCCATGGTCTAATTGTACAGCACAGATATAGGCCTGTAAAGCATCCATAGGCTGATTTTGCTGTTGATACAGCACACTGAATAGAAAGATTTGTGAAGTTGAGAATTAATAACAAAGTCAAAATACAATGAAGTCAAACACAAACATCCACCCCAAAACCCTTAATAAACTCTGTCATTATATAAATCACAGTAATAAGCAAAAAAAACCCCATATTTATAAAACTTAACATGCAAAGTTTGTATACACAGCATATTCAATATTTTAAAAATGGAAAAAGTAAAAATTATAATTTAAACTTCAAATTAGATGAATCTGACAACATAAAGGTAGAAATAAAAAAAATTACGGAACATTTGAGGGCACAAAACATTTAAAAAGCTAATATTCTTCATTCATATTTATGTATTAGCATTGAATTATATCACTGTATTACCCTGTTTCATTCTTACCCTATAGAACACCATGTATCTGCACTTGCTTCTGATTTATCAATAGATTGCCTATAAGATATAAAGGCATCCTGAACTTTCCCAATACTTGAATAGCACCTGGGAGAAGAAAAAAAGATTTCTGGTAATATTTATAGAAGTAATCAGTGATGATGGCTTGCGAAGACTGGTCTGACAAATGTTAAGTCTACTCATCTAGATGAATCCAAAACATTTGCTACTTTTCAATGCTGGGCACAAGTAGACTCAAACTTGTTAATCAACATGTATTACTCATTCTTCATTTGAGAAGCAGACCAACACTGTTTAAACCCTAACTTAATGCATTTGCAGTGAAAGCAGAAGTCATGCTACAGTTTGAAGATTTACCTTTGTTCCACTTAAGATAGTCATCGATCAGTAAGAACAATATTCATCTTCAGTCAACATTCAAAAAAATCTATTAAGATACTTATTTCATGAAATCTAATACAATAAAATTTCATATCCTACAATTAATGCTTCAGGATTATTTGATTTATATTAAGAGATAATGACCAATTCAGTCAGGATGGTCTTGGAAATTTTTTATATGCATAACTCATATCTCATAAAGTTTTTGAATAATGAAGGACAAACCAATTAGTTTACCCATGTACAGAAAGCAATAAAATTTGTAAAAATCTTTCTTGTCTGGATTTTTTCAAATTGTATTACTTGAATATTATATATATGCTACAACTTCATAGGTTTCCTAGGCATTGTAAGCAGAACTATCAAACCTTGAAAGAGAACTACTATCATTCTGCAGGGAATAGTATCTGCTTTTTAAAATTAAAACTTGAAATAAATAAAATACAAAAAGAACACATGAAATTAGTTTTAACTACAATAGCTTTGCCTACATTGCTTCCAATAAGTTTCCCTTTTGGAAAAAGAACTGACAACTTTCAAAGCACATCAATAACAGAAAGTTTATTCTAGTAAAAAAAAAATCCAGAACAGTACAGGTGAGGTTCATCAAATATGCTACACTCTTTTGTGTATTCTTAAGGCTTATCAGAAAATACAATATTATCTAGCAGTACTCATTTCTAACAAATAAGTCACATCTCCATATAATGTTTCAGGATATCATTTTATTCAGAATCTAACCCACGTTGCAATAGACATGTTTAAATCTGTCTACTTAACAGATACGCACAGATTCCAATTAGAATAACACTAACATCAAGCACCCAAGAACCTTTAAAGCAGGGAAGTGAGGTGGAGCTTTTAAACTTTAAACCATGTTATCTAATTCGGAGGACCAGCAGAGGAAGGAGTAACACAAGGGGATATATTGGAAGGGAAAAAGAGGAAGAGTGAATGCACAGCCCTGTAAACTTATAACTCTCCTGTTAAAGTACTGACTGCAAGAAGGAGGCACAGAAATGTTTTGCTCTGGTTCTCCCCTGTAGAACATAAGGGATACTTCCACTACATTTCCTATTCCTCTATTTCCTCCATTCCCCCATCTCGTTTGTATAGTGCTGGGTTTCACTCCAACCATACTAAAGCCCAGGTACAGGAAGAGCACACGTACTCTACTGAGCTTTGCCTCTGTCCTGCTGTTGTGTAAGAACACAACTGGCTCTAGCAGTGTGGATTGGGATTAGAGAGGAAAAGAACAGGTTTTAGCCAAAGGGATAACAGAACAAGCCAGATGATCCCTGGCTCCTTTTACCTTTTCTTCCCACTCCTACTCCAGCTCTCTGTCCCCACTGCCTGTACTTCTCCCTTAGCCTGCAGACTGCTAGTTTAAGACTCTCGTTCAAAAAAAGAGCAGCAGGAAAAAAATCAGGGTGACAGAAACAGTAGTATGTTCTAGTTAGGTATGACAAGAACTTCCAGAAAAGTGAGCCGGAAGATACTGAGGTTACTATATTAATTTCATTTTTGCATAATTTCTATTTAATCTATTTCTCCACAGAACTGACCAGTTCATATGCTTAAATTGACATCAAAGCTTTCAACCACATTGAAGATAAGTTAGATTGCTATTCTCCAAAGCCTGATTATTTCCAAAGTTACTGATGGCTTGTTTAAAGCACGTATTTTTTAAAAAATGGAGACTAAGACGAGTCATTAAATTGACATGATATACATCTTCGATAAAGCTAATTTTCATGGGAAAACTACTGTGCACAAGTAAAGATTAATATAATGCTTAAGTAGAAACTAGAATAGATCCACTTGAGTTATCTTGGCTTAATATCTAGTTGTAAACTATTCTGTCAGCAGATCAAGGCACTTGTATTTTAATGTTGAAACTGTTTGAGATTAGAAGGGAGATTTTAAGAAAATAAAGAGAACATAATGAAACAAGTAAAAGCAGGTAAGGCAGATTAGCATTACTGTAAAGGTGTAAACTGAACTACAAAACAAACAAACAAACAAAAACAAAACAAAACAAAAAAACAGGACAACTTAGGTAATGTATTTCATTTCAACTTGTAATCTATAATCATCCTAAATAACTTGCAGCTTTCCAAAAGTTAGGACTTTACTAGATACAAACATCTTTTCCTTTCATTTTTTCTCTACAAACTACAAAGAACATAAAAGGTAACTCATAATAATATCCTCAAAAAATAATTACAAACACAGTTACAATGTCTATAAAGTCATTTCTCACCTTCCAAGGAAATACCAGGATTGACCAGAATTTGGATCTGCTTCTAGAGATTTCTGGAGATACTGTATAGCATAACTTTCCTTGGTTGCCTTGTCTCCAAGCTGATCCACGGTGTGATGCATCCAGCCTACAAGAAAAATCCACAGATGGCAGAAGTGAAATTCTCAAAAATCATTTAATACTCTGGCACAGCAGAATACTGACAGCTTTGGTCCCTCTTTAAAAATATGAATATCAAACAATATTATCAGTTACATAAATTGTTATGAATGAAACTTTAAAAAGTTCCTTTTGAAGTTTTATACTAAAACTACAGGGCTAAAGGACCTAGATTCAAAATTACTTTCACATGCTTTAAAAACATTCTTGTTTAAAGTATTTTCTACAAGGTTAGTAGCATAACTATGAACCACTCAATATTCTACTATAAAAAGTTCATCTGAAAATATTAACTCTTTCCTCCTCTGAATGTGGGCACCTTTCATGCCACCATCTTCCCTGTAACACACATCCATCATCTGTATATTAAGGGCATCTTACCTTTTCTTTCTAACTCTCATATCTGTATTTGTACTATTCCCCAGTAATGCATTATTAAGAATTGCTGCCATTCCATGTCAGTTTTTCATACTTTGTCATTATGTCTACCTCGCTACAACATCCCCTCTTTTTGCCTTGAAAAATGCAATCACTTCTCACAGACGCATCACCTGCATATCTCCTAAAAAGATCATTTTGTTTTCTCACATAATCACAGAATATATTTTCATGTGCCTCCTCTTTTTTCACTACATTAGGCAAATTATTTATCCTGACTTTAATGGCCTCTCAGTCCTTGCCTTCACATAGTCTTTTACAAGCTATCAAAGTGCATCTCTGTTTCAGCAATGACGTAAGGCTTGGTTACCATTTCAAACAAAGCACCTTCGTCATCTTCTCAGGCTTCTCCCCATCTGTCTTTATGCCTAGATGGTATCTCTGGAAGCGCTCACAAAATCATCTTACTGCTGCTCATGAGTAAAAGGAAATTCTTTTCTACAGGCAGCTGCTTGCTGAAATCTCTACATACTACATTGGTCCATTGGCCAGTTATGTCTTGATGTTTGCTTAATTTCCACGTACTTGTCTTAATAACCTCTTGCCTTTCACCTAATATTCATAAATTGTAAAATGTGACAGCAGACCGCCCCTATGTTTTTATTGTGTCCTGTCAAAAATGATCCCTCATGAAACACTGTATCAGTTTCATATAATATAAGGTTTGCATAAGGTTTTTGTTATATAGAGCTGCACATACATCTGCTCTCAGCGTTCATGTAAAACCTACTGAGTTTATCCTTTAGGAATCAGTCTAACTACATAAACACATAATATCATTTAAAGAATAAAGAGTCTGCCCACTTCATCAGAAATGCCACATCCCAGTAAGCAAGGCTGAGAACAGAACTGATGAGTATTTGCAGCTTCACTTCATTCTCTGTGATTGGACTACACCTTAAATAACTTATTCTACCTGATCTATTTGAGTTATATATACATATATTTAATCCCATGGGTTCATAGCAGCCACAGTGACACTTTTGCAAAGGAAGACAAACTTACAAGCTTAAAAAAAAAAACGCAATCCAGGAAAAAATCAAGCCTACTGAACAATGTTTGCCTGAGGTGTTTGAAGAAGTTTCCAAGTTTCCACTTGGAAACTGTGTTGAGAAGCGTAAGTTTGAATAATTCATCGACTGCAAGAAATACCGTGTTAAGAGTCAAGTAGTTACAGTGCTGACAGAAGAGTACTTTATCTTGTCTGAAGATGGACCAAGTCAAAACCTTACCCACCAGAAAAAAAAGAAAAAACACGGTAACTTATGTAGATAAACAAACTATGATTTTGATTAAAATCCCAAGTCACTGAAGTCCTGAAGCACACAGGACATACTTGTGCTTTAAGAAACAAGGCTTATGTGAGGATGCTTATTTGAATGCACCTACATAACTGTACAAGAAAGATAAGATATTCGGTGCAGTGGCAGCCAAAGCCTGAGTGAAATAAAGGTAAGACTTCAGAAAGTATAAACATGGTTAAAACAGATACTAAACAATTTCCTGAATCTTCAGAAGTGTTGTGTGGTGATGCCTATTTTATGTTTTATCAGAACCTTGCCAAACTGACAGATAACATGCTGTATCTTCAGATCTTCTCTGAGGTTCACTGATAAGAAGAATCTATTTCTAGGAGACAGAAATAAGAAGTAGAAATCCCTATCTACTTTCAGTGCTGAACTAAGGGTTGTTTTCTGATTTTATCTTACCACGTAGGGAGGTGAAAAAGGTAGAAGTCAAGAGAGAACAAAGTTTTCTTCTAAAACAGCACAAGTAAAGGAAACTGGTAAGCCATGTAGTCTCTGCTTTGCAAGAGCTAATTCTAATTGTCAACTAGCATACTGAATACTCTTCTACTGTGGGGACATTTTCAACGTTATAATCAAAAATGCTAATTTTGTCCATGTTCCAGGCTCTTTTCCAGATTTTTTTTTTCTTTTTTTTTAAATCTAATTTGTAACAAATCACCATGTTTCTTCAGCAAAAGCATGTTCTAGCCTGGCTCATGTTTCAGTTGGTTTTATGCTTATCAATCACTCTCATGTTGTATTTATGGCAACTGCTGTTTCCTTGATAAACATCATCCCAGTCTCTGAAGACTCTCAGTTTTTGAGCCTGTTCCCCATTTCAGAATCTCATGATGTCTCATCCAATTACAGACATCACCTAGAAATGCCCCCAACAAAAGTCTTTGAAAGAGTGCTTTAAGAAGCCCTGGGCAGATGCTAACACTGTTCTACACACTAGTTTATGCAACTGCTCATTAAAATAGGAGAAAGAATACTGGGACAGATTAGATCTTAAGTCTCATCTGGTATAGCGGCCCTTATTTAATGCAATTTTAGGCGAAGTGGTGAAAAGAATTATTGCCTGGAAAGCAAATTAAATGCAATAAAAAACATGAAACAAACTGTTCTTATTCAACTGCGCAGATCTTCCTGTTACATCTATCAGAACTAATTAGTACACATCAGCTCAAACACATACATATTTCTCAGAGAATCACAAGGTTCTCCTCCACAATGATCTGTTTTGGAAAACAGCAATGAGAGTGAAGGTTTTAGTAATTCTCTCACACAATATCTGAACTTGCCTAAATTTCAACTCATGCTCAATAAACATTAATTAGCTAAGAAAAATGAACAAAAGGTCTTTTCATGCCAAAATAATTTTCCTGTTGGGAGTGAAGAAAAAAAAAAAAAAATCTGATCTAGAAATATACTTTGATTGTTTTTTGCTAATAGCATTTTGGCAGATGGCAGGTATTTTCTACGTCGGTTGCTCTGGAAGTAATGCCTGATTTCCATGGAAACTACATCAAATACAAAGAGTACAATAACACTATTTGATAGAGCAAATTCTTAGCTACAAAACGCTTCCTTACAATACAGTCACCACCATTTGCTATGCATTTTTGTCAGTTATGAACAAGAGCTGCATGCCACGCTCATAAAAAGCTGCACCACTGGAAGTGACCCACTGTCGCTGTCACCACTGCTGAAACACACCACCCACTGCCTCGCTGTGCTCACATCCACTCTTGGCCACCATCAATTTTCAGCAAGTGTTAATGACTGTCAACAGAAGCAATTTTTTTCCACAGGTAGGAATTCAGTTACAGACTTTGCTTCATACGCACTTCCATGTCAGGTGCCACTGTGTCAGAGTGCCCCTCTGCTGCCATCTGTCACATGGCGTTAACATGTAATCGGATATTGGAGGGAAGGTTCAACCTCTACTGCCATACCACCAACATCTGCCTCTGATGTCATGTGCCAACATCATAAAACAGGAGGGAGGCATTATTTTTGGAGTAGCCCTCGTATTATTTTTTTTAAGCAGCACTGTACCACCTAGACTATGCTTCGCAAGGAGGTGTTTTATTATGAGCTGCTAGATACTAAATCTGTCATAAAAACCATACTCTGATTAATAGCACTGCTTATAGTGAGGAGCAAAAGAAATGGTATTATTTTGTGAACATTCTAGTTAAGAGCACTGTCTCCTCTCCATACAAGCTATCCCAACTACTACAATTAAGTGACCTATGCTGATTAAAAAGGGGAAGCTAATTCAGTTTTCGGACAGCAGACAATTCTCAGACACTGCTCCTATTGCTAGCACAGCAACCTGTGATATGATTTTATGAAGACGACCACGGCTTTGCCTCTAACATAGCAGCACGTGTCAAAAAGACTTGAAAAAGCACTGGTCACCTATTTTGGGCAATCTGTCTTCTGTTGATCCTTTGTGTAACCTATATGAATGATACTGCCTACAATTTATACCAAGTTGGGTAGTGCTAAATTAAAAAACAAACAAACAAAAACCAAAGGGGATACTGAAATGTAAGGAACATTTCCATCTGACAGCACCTAGACACCTGCAGTGTCATTTGTGGTTTCACACAGAAAAACTAAGAGCTAAACAAATCAGCCTGCCCCAAATGCATACACAACCTGCATTACGGAAGAGAAAGTACTTTGGCTGTGACTTAATGCCAGTTACTCATTTGAATTAAATGACCACTGTGTGAAGGAAAAACAAAAAGAAAAAGATGGGCACAAGCAGGCTAAATTAATATTTAGAATAATAAATTAGATGAAGAACATGGAGAAAGTGAATGAAGGATTTGCATCATTTGAACAACTTTAGCAAGATATTCTGGAAATACTTTCGTGAGGCATATAGGAAAAATGCAATTTACTCTACCCACTCCGTAGAAGTTTTCGACTACAAATAATTTATCGGCTTTCTGTAAATGTGGGAGATGACAAATTTTAAACGGTAATGTTTTTTCCATTTTATGTGGTTTCTTTTCTTTTATAGAGTAATAAACTTTTAGTTACAGGAGTATGTTTTCATTAAGCACTTAAAATTACGTAGAAAGAAAAGGTAGATTTTTCACTTGCAGGGTTATTCTATTCTGCAACAGAAAGAAGTACTTTGGTTTACTGCACTTTAGTCTGGCTATTGAAGGGATGTTCTTAGAGGCAGAATTGAAAGAACAGAAAATTTTAACTACTGTACTATTGCTCTGAAAGATCTCACTGCCCCAAACCCATAGTGCAACTATCGTAGTAAATCTAAGAGCTTTTTAATTTTGTAAGTTTAGTTACAGTATTTCCCTTCTCTCTTATTTGCTTAATTATCTACTGTTATGCATTCTATTTTGAGTTAAAATCTCAAATATGATCCTCAGTATTTCAGATTCACTTAGAAATTGGAGCCTTAAAAAAACACTGTTGAAGGCAAAGATGGAAAAAAAGAAACACACAGAAAAATAAAAGTTGATTTTACATACCTAACTGCTGTAAGACAGTTGCTTTTACTTGTGCAGGAAGGTTTTCGATCTGCAAAAGTTGTTCATAAGCTTCCTTTGCAGAGTGATACTTTCTCTGCAAAAGGAAAAAAGTAAATCGATTAATCATAAACCTCACAATAGATCACCAATAGCAACGATTTCACAGCACTGACAGCACACAAACACATTGACAAAAAAATCTAGAACTTTTTTTTTTTTTGCATACAGTGCATATGAAAGCTTTCATAAGTGATATATATATATATGATAAGAGAATAACTTTCATAAAATATAGTATTTAATATAAATTGAATACTTAAAATAGTCAAGGAAAATTTGTAAATTATTCAATTTGGTCAGCTCCTCACGCATGCATTATACTTCTTATACTAAAATGAACATGTTTTTTTTTAGAGGAATGCTTGATTGTGAGTTGACATTTGAGAAAAACCTACTCAAATGACTCCCAGGAAATTTGCAACAGAAAAGAAGATCATCAGAAACTGGTGGCTGGTATCCTTTAGCCTCTCTCCTTTTTTTGTTATATTAGAATGGCCTATTTGCTCTACTGGTAAGAGTCCCATCATATGTAGAATTAAAACAAACCCCCAGATTATGCCTCAAGAATCAAGATACACTATCTTATTATTTGCCATATAGTTTAAATGTGCTTAGAGCATGGAAACATTCAATTCTTAACTCCCATGTAGACCTTGAAACAGAAAACACATTTCCAAGTTAGAATTGTGGTCTTTTCTGACTTTTGGAACAGTAAGAGCTTTTGTTTTGTGCACATCAAACATTAAGCAGTCTTGATTTTTTTACTTTTGGTAATTGTGTCGTCATTTGTTTCTCCCCATGTTACCCTAGCAATAATTGTTTAACTGTGAACTTATTTTAAATGCTTAATTCTTCTGCTTCTCCTCTCCCATGTAACTATATAAAGTATAAAGGCTGAGGTCTGCTGCTTTTTGTTCTTTTTTTTTTTTATTGGGTTGTTGGCGTTTGTTTTGTTTTGTTTTTGTCATTTTCTAAAAATTCTACACATTTTTTAAAGAAAAAAAGTATGCTTTCAGGTAACTCAACATTAGACCTCATTCTGGCAGATAGATGAAGAACCTATTAAAATAAAAAGGGCCACCTAAATGCAAATTGTCATGACTAAGTTACATTTGTTATATGCAAAGAGAACACAATACTGTCTAGTGGTGTTTTAAAAGGGACAATCAAGGAGGAGATTGTAAACAACCTAAGTGCTTATTAGAAGTTAAATGCTATTAGGTTCTTGAGATCCCACAATCATAAAAGACAACTTTGTTGATTTTAAAACCTTAATCTAGTCAGGAAGAAAAATTAAAGCGGCAATTACATACTTTCAAATGGAACAAAGGGAAGTTGGTAGAAAAGGTTTTTAATTGATGTTCATGAAATGTAGACAACTGGCAAGAAAACAAATAATATAAATAAATAAAATATCCATGGCTAGCAAAATCAAAACAATCAGGAAAGAACTTTAAATTTAGCATTGGGAACAAAATCTGTAGTTAATGATTATGAAAGATAGGCAAATGAACAGAAGTTCCCCATGTAGTGTGACAGCAGGGGCAGCAATCTGGATGTTAAATAGATAAATACTAGTGACTAATATCTCCACTTTGAAAAAGATGTTTGCATGCTTGGAATGAATCAGAAAGATCTATTAGAATGCAGTATGTTTTCTAGACCTAGAATAATATTTGCTTTTGTTATTTGTTGTATTATTTACCCTTTAGAAATCTGCCTACGTATTTGTCTTAAAGTATTACAGAAAACTGTCATAATGTTTACATTTGTTTTTATTTAGGTATTCAATTCAAATACATGCCCTTGAGTTTGGCTGTATTAGGAACAATCTTAAGAAACGTGGGTTGGGAAAAAAACATCATCTTTCTTTAGGAACTTCAGCTGATAACCTAACTAGCATGGAAGGACTCACGTGGCCACAGATCAAGTAGTAGAAACTAGCATTAAAACCAAGAAAAAACACCACTACCTCTTATCAACACTGGATTATTCTCTTGTTCAGAATGGATGAACTTTCTGATACATTATCAGAAACAAGCTCATTTTCATATGTATGAGGGGGTTCAAGAAACTGTAGCTCTGTGTCCTTCAGAAGGAAGAGAAGCCCAGCCCCTCTCCGAAAGTGTCTTCGCTGTATCAGAGGTAATACTCAAATCAAGTCAAGAGCCCTTGTGGTTCAAAGTTTCTCAAATTCCAGAAAAGAATCTATATCCATTAAAGAGAATTGTGAGGCAAATGGAGTCTAAAAGCAGTATGTGCTTTTTGTCTCTGACTTGTATTAAAAGTTCCTGTTGCCTGCAACTGCAAGTTAGAAAGCATTTGCAATATAGGCCACGGTATTATATAAGGCACCTGCCATGGTGACCTGAGATTTTCAACTTTCTGCTTTATTTTTGCAGATCAAAAGGACCAACATGTATAGGATGTTTTGTTACATGAACTTGTTAGATGTGATCCAGTGCTCAAAAGGAAACAAAAAACCCCTCTGACGTGTTAGAGTCCCAAAAATCCATTAAGTTGTTTAATGGTGGTTGGGGATAGGGGATTTCTGTTTGTCATACAGTTACATAAATTCAAAAGTTCTACTGCACCAAAAGCAGTCAAGAGAAAATATCTCGTTCATCAAGTTTTTAACTTCTATTTATAAATAATTACCTACATAATGTCATTTTTCACTGTGCCATCAAAAGACAGCACTTACTTATCAAGTTACTTTTCAATTGACTGAAAATGTAGAATTTGTCTGTCATCTGTTTTATTTACAACAGTTTTTGTTTTCCTGTCACATCTCTTCTTCAGTCATATTATACCTATAAACATGACAAGAGAGTATACAAGCTACCATCATATGACCAGTCAGTCAGATTACAAATATACAATAGCTGTTTCCGTAGCTGCTTGGTTTTAATTTATTTATATCCCGGAAGCTCAGTGAGCGTTCCATAATTTCCCAAAAGATTCATCTAAAAAACTCTGTGGTAGGATTTGACACAGAATAATAACAAAGCATTATGTCCCATTGTCCTCAGATCTCACAAGCTTCTGTCACATATGTCTAGTTAAATTTGAAAATTTCATGTTAAATATACTTTAAAAGCACCTGGACATCTTTTTGAGTGTGAATGTGAGGAACAACATGGATATGTATGAATTGAGAGACTGTATATTTTTTGCATTTGTATATATAATATATACATGCACCTGGACAACTTTGTGTGCATGAATGTGAGAAACAATATGAATATGTATGAATTGAAAAACTATGCATTTTTTACATTTATATGTATGTATTAAAAAATCCATTTGTTAGCCAAAGTTATGTTGCAGTTTATTGCACACCAACTGGGAGACTAGTGAACATATGTTTACTAAAATAACCACCCAATTTCAGCAGGACAATCCTCATGCATATTATTAGGACTTGAGCCTAACTTCAATTCAGAAAAGCATCTATAATCAGCTGAATGCCACAGACTGATTATATCATGCAGTTAGAAACTTCATCACTTTATAAAAAGGAGCCTAAAGCTTACCTGGATTTCGTATAAGTGGGCGATGTGAAACTGAACTGTAAGAGTGAAAAATCAAAATTATTAGATGTAATGAATAACATTAAGAATACATTTTTCTCAAGTCAGAGATAAACATTTTTGAAATTTATCAGTGCAAAGCAGAGACTAACTACATTGTAAAAACACAAAAAAGTATGTTTGTATTGATATTTTGCATTTATATAACAGAACTGTCAGAAAATGTGTTTTCTAGAAAAGCACCGAGACTGAAAACAAAACGCAAAAAGGCAGACCATGGATTTTATCTGCATTCTGAAATGCAAAGTTCATTAACATTTCAAGATAGTTAGTAATATAATCCCTAAGCAGAGATGCACAATGACAAATAACAGTTTCTGTACGTAAGTAAATTAGAAATAAATAAGACACTATCTCTGTTTAAGCCAAGCTCAACTTGTTTCAATCACACAGAACTATTTTTTCTCAATGCTATGGTGTAACAGGTTATAGGTAATTCAGATGTCCAGTGTTTCTCTCCAAGTCATGAAGGAAAGGAAATGATCCATTTGTGTATTGCTTTGTCCTTCACTATAAAAGAAGGTACCCTACTGCATTTCAGAAAACAGATCATAATGAAATGCATCATCTAAAATTTTAATAAACTTTTTGTGTCCCTTTCTAAAGGGCACATAACACACCCATTATGTTCGCCATATCATCTAATTTCCTTCTGCACTGATGAAAGAGAACCCCTTCTTTTGTTTCGGGGAGCTCTCTACAAAATCTTTTTTTTTTTTTTTCCTCCCTCATAGCAAACCTCCTTCAGAGTGAAGCTACAAAAGAAAGCCCCGTCATACAGGAGAAAGAAATTAAAGGTGTTGCATTAGCAAGTGCCTAAATAAAAGAAGATGTCCTTAGGACTCAATCACTTCTGCTAGGAAGACTGTCATTGTAATGCTGTTACTCACATGGCCTACTTTAGGAATAGAAGGGGCTGGATTAAGGCTATCGCATGCATTTATGCCAAAGTATCTGACATCTCAGATAAGGACGCACAGCTGTCCCTCCACTAAGCAGTACTGGAGAACCTGACAAAGTATCTTTCATTCCTCTTCACTCCTTCCCCTTTTGTTTGCCTTACACTGGATGCAACACCACAACAGCAAAGTAGCCCTTATGTGGGGCTGTACCTCTATGTAAATCTCGGGGCACAGGTGAAGGTGGGAGAAGTGTGAGGAGAGCCTTACAAAAATTCAGAACTGCAGAGAAAACTGATAAAGTCAGCAAGAAATAATAGAAAGGAGCATGAAATACAATAAGCAATGATATGGCTGCTAGAAAACAATCAAAATCTATTTACCTAGTAAGAATTCTGCAAATAATTTTAGAAAATTACTCTCCCTGCTCCTGATAAGTGACATAGCCTTGCAAAGGACTCTGTAGCACAGCTAGCTCCTTGATACTGAAGCAACCAGCAGTTTCACCCATGTAAACAAAACCTCTTTATCTACCCTTGCTGACAGAATATTCACAATTCAATCCAGCTTGGAATTGAACAGAAAAAATGCTTCTAAATACTTTATCTAATGCTTCTGAAGCCAGTATAAGGAGGCAACATAAGCTCAACAACACCAAGTACACCATGAAGGTTCAAGAAGAAACAACTTTCTGCACTACTGTCTACCTCGTGATTCTGACAGATTCCATGCGATGCAGAAATTTACTCTTGCATACGATTTCACTCATTACCAACAAATATTTGTAGCATAGTCTGTAACAACCTACAGAATATAATGTGTATGACAGATCTAATCATGCTAAAAGATGAAAGTGCTAAAGTACTGGCTAATATATAACGGCAGGTAATAAATCAATTTTTTTTTTCCAACAGTGTAAAGCTGATACTGAACTTTAGAATGACGCTGAGGTGATTGCTGAAAAAAAGACATATTTTCAAATTTGTGGCACCCGGATACAATGGCTATTAAATGTGTGCCATGACACAAACACTATGTTTATAAATAAATAAGCAAAATCTCAAATAGCAAGTTGTCTCTAGAACTCAAGTCTTCAGAGCAGTTAATATAGTAAGTCTGTTTTCACTTATTTAATCCACTAAAGCAATCCGCAATTCCATTGGAATATCTGTCTCCATTTATAATAACAGGTTTTGTAGTCTCTTCCTCTCATATTTTCTCAATCTTTCTGTTTTGACTCTTTTCACTGAAAATAGTTACAGCTGTAAGAAAAAAAAATCTGCAACAAAATAAATGGAAATACTTAAAAAGTTACTTACTTTCAGCGTTAGACAAAGTGCAGGGGTTGCAGTCAATCAAAGCTAACTGAAAATGCTGAAAAAACAAGGATGAATTGATTTTCAAACAATGTAAGACTCCTGCTTTGGCAAATTACAAAGAAAAATCAATTTCCTACTTAGAATAAATTACTACTTAGAATACATCACTTACTTAGAATAAATACTATATTTTACCATTTGTCTTAAAGAAAGTAATCTTCAATTTCTGTTCAAGAATGTTTACTAGAGGAAAGTAAAATTTTTTTGTAAACATATAGCAATGCTTCTAGTAATGCGCGAGATGCAAGACGCATCTCCACAAGATGGTTAAGACAAACAGTATCTGCAAGAATGATTGTATCAATGGTCAAAATTGGAAGAACAAGTTTTCTTAAGAAGGCAGTTACACTATTAGCTCATAGCCTCATGGAGACCAACATCCAAGCTGTAAATTTGTCTACGTAGAAAAACAGAATACTTTTTCTGTAAACAAGTAGTGATTTAAAGGTTTGTTGCTTTCAGTGTGTTCTTGTGTCTCCTTTTTTAAGAATTAATCTTATCAAAAAACACTTAAAATGAGTACCTTCACATAATAAAATGAGTTCACAAGTTCATTAGTTCTTGTACTATCTCCCCTCCAGGTGTTAAGACAATGGCAATTAAACACTGTTTATTTTTCATCACTTTTCTTCAAGATACGAAAAATATGTTTTAAAACATCTTCATGATCTAAAATTCTGAGATAAGCATTTCAGTCCTCCATAAAGAAGAATTCAAGCAGAGCAGTAAAGTTTATCTACAAGAAGGCCTGGATGTGACCAATCCTTTAACAAGAGTCATGTCAACTCAGTGACCACTATCTACAGCTATAACCCAGTGTGTTAAAAATGGATACACTAGGCATACAAACTCAAGTGCCAATGCCCTTTTCCAAAACCTTCACAGAAAATTCCTACATGCAACACAGAATTTGGGTGAATAAATTCATTCACTGCGAACTAAGGCCTAGAAGACAGGAACCTAGGAGACAACACGTAAAAGACAACAGATACAGTTATCTGTAAAATACAATATCAGATGGCTTCTAATGCACAAAATGTTACTACTGACATTTCAGTCTATTTTATCCAGTTAGCACGGAATTGACCATTTAGCTCCCAGTGTTCAGGATGCCAAACAAGGAGGCATCAGGAGCTTGTCAGTGTAGCTGGAAGAAAGAAAAATGCATTGATAATGGATGCATATGCAACTTGTTTTCCATACGGTCATACTCAAAGCATTTAGACACTATGCAACTTTCCTTATGCTCACAATACTACCATGCATGTTATGCCTATGTAATACACATCTCAAAGATTTACAAGAGTCTACCAGACCACCTAATTTCTAAATAAATATTTTTGACAGAAAAAACATATATATTAGAAAAATATATTGTCCACAGCACAGTATAAGATGTTCCTCATTAGCTGAGGCATACAGTGGCATAATCTCACTGACTTACACCAGTATCATTTGTAATATATAGCAGCTTTTAGAAAATGAAACAAACTCAAGTTGAATAACCCAAATTTACAGATTCTAATGAAAATTCTAGCAACACAATTCCTAAGAGTAGAGAAAACAATGATACACATTACTTGCAAAATAACTTTTTAACTTTAGCATATATTTAATAGCTTAGAAATATTAAATACTAGCTTATTTCTCTGTCTTGCTTGGGTTTTTTTGTTTTTTTTTGGTTTTTTTTTTTTTTCCTAGTATTGAGCAGTAGGAGAGAACTCAAAACCTCCCATCACTTACATTGCAATGCTGCTTGTGTGCCTCAGGGACATCCTTTAGTCTGTTACCATAGTGATTCTACTAAGCAGGCAACTCAAAAAAAAAAAGAAGACTAAATAAAAATAAAATGCTCTACATTATATTGCAGCTTTCCTAACCAGAAAAATAACCTAACAACATAGATCTATATACTTTGGCCTGTACACTGAGTACACCGATCTAAATGATTCAAAACCCATTTTGCACAGATGTGTAAGCTTGTACTGTCATTAACAATTAATATGAAAAGATAAAGCAGAAAGGAACAGATTTGTTCTCACCTAGCGATGCTATTATAAAAAATCAGCAGATCCAAAAAGAATCGATTGACAATTGTTCTGCAGTAGCTTTGCAGTAGGGCTATTGCAGTGAGACTCACCGGCAGAAAGCAAGCAACCGTACACAAAAATCTAACCATTTTAATATTTAAATATACCAGTAAAATCAGTGCTGCACAGGAAAAAGCAGGATTATTCTCACCAATGCCTCCTAAAAAATTAACTTCTTACTTCCACCACACTGTATTTCAAATTTCAAAATCCATACTATGAAAATTTTTCTCCATGTAGAAAATTTCTGCTAGCACTGTTTACTATGTCACAAAAAAAAAAAAACAAACAAGAAAATTGATAATCTGAACCATGTAACTACAGAAGAATAAACCTGCCCTAAACAATTATAGCAAAGCAATACACAGAAACACAGAACCTCTTAAACCAAAAAGCTTTGAAATGCACATAAACAAGCAAACCTACACCTCTTGCTGGATAAATAATCCATAACCCCCTGGTAAGAATCCAAAAACATTCAAAAAAAGCATGCACTCTAACACATAAAGCTCATCAGCAAAACGCAGGTCCACTAATTCCAATTGCCAGCACCAAAAAATTAAAAATAGTAATAATTTCCAACTTCCATCTCTGCAACAAACAGAAGCAGCTAGCAAACATCTGCACCTCTCTCAAATATTGCAGTACTGAAGCTGGCTACTGCTGTGTGAAATAGTTATTATGCAGGAGAGGCCGCTGCAGTTCAGAGACGACATACAATACCTCAAGGCAGACAGCAGTCTATAGAAATTCAAATGCAGAGTAAGAGGATTTACCTAGAAGGCAGTGTTCTGAATGTTAAAAAGTAACAGTCTCTCCTCAAGGGCTGCAGCTGAAGTCACAATATACCTTGATTTGGAGTCATCTGTAATTGCACAATTATCTACAATCTATTCTGTCTCCTCTGGAGTCCTTGATGTGCCTGATTGTAGAAACAATTGCGAAGGTAACCTCTTCAAGGATCAGAGGTACAGTGGATTGCATGTAAACTTAACTGATGAAAGGTCTAGTAGGAAAATAACCCGGCAAGGATTTAAGTAATTTAGTATGTTTTCACTGCTAGAATTAAACATATTTCTCCTAGCACACTCATCCTTCACAATTTCAGAGGCAAGAGAGACAAGTCCCCACACTTGTGTTGTTTCATCAATAAACAACCAATGCATTTTCCTCCTCGAGTATGATTTTTACTGCTTTTTTGTTTATATTGAGTCAGACTTCAGAGCAGCGATTCTAAACCCTCCAGCTCTCTAGAAGGGCATTAACAAGCTGAGCAGCCCTCAGCTCTGTATCTATTTAGTAAGCGAGGCAAGCCATCATATGAAACCTGACAGTTCTCACAGACTTACCACGAAGGAAAGCTCCATCATGACTCAGTATAACTCTGTTAAGAGATGGCTTTTTCTGCCTATGTGACCTAGGTGCGATGCCTAGGTCGCTCAGAGCAGCCTTTGTTCAGCTAAGTAGGACGCGGAAAGCCTTGCATAATCAGCTGTGGCAGCGTGCCAGGCCTCCATTTGCCAGGCCTGGCTGGAGCCTGGGGAGAAGGTCAGGAGAGGACGCGCTACATGCGCTGCTGCCTCGGTTTGCTGCTTCTCTGCGTGGGGCTGGAGAGTTCAGGAGGACCTCGTCTTGGACAACGAAGGTTTATAGAGCACAAGCACACTGGGACTTCTGTTTAACATTCAGACACTGACAAAAACTGTTACACAGACAGGGCAGAAAGGAACTGCTCGAGGACAGAAGGAATGAAGGTGAGAGACATACGCAAACCATCTAACAGCAACACGTACAGAAGAAGCTCTTCAAACAGAACGATGACCGAAGCTGTATTTTCACTAACAAAGAAGGCTGAATTGGAATTTACTGACCAATATCTTACACAGCACACCACTCACTACATTTTTCATGCATGTTGGCTGTGTGTTTTATCATGTGCACACCACACACATTCAGACATCCAGACCTTAGAGCCCAGGGGCTGCCAGCATGGCTGGGGGCTGCCTGGCATCTTGCTCTCACTGCTGTACCGCCAGCACCCTCAGCCTGCAGCTGCCTACAGGCCATCCAGGCACCCCAGCTGGCGTGAAAGCACATGGCCATCTCTGCTAGGGATCTGCTCTCCAGCTAACTTTTCGGTTACAGATTATCCTGGAAACATGAACGACTGTACTCACAAAGAGAAGGTGCATGCAAGTGTACCAGCATCAATATCCATTAGTCTCAGTGCTTAACTTCAAGTCAACTATTTCTTTTCTCATGGTTTGCATCATTCTCCTCGCCCCCAATGACAGAAGATGTCTTATAGCATAATAATTACATTTCAGCATTTCCTTCTCTTTGTAATTGTAACATATCTACAGTTGTTATAGAAGAACTGTAAAATGACTTAAAAATCCAAACAAAACTAATAAAGAGAAAACAAAACAAAGCACGCTGTGGACAATATGCTGTGATGGACCATCAAAGTAAGTTGCAGTGGCTACTCTACTGCAGCTGGATTAGTGACATGCTGTGTTAAAAACTTCCTCTCCATCACACACATACACGAACTCCAAAGCCTTAGAGAATGATATAATTCCCAGCCGCTGTTTTCATCCATTTAATACAATAAAATACAATCACAGAATACCAGAATCATAGAATTAATGCTTTGGATTGGAGAGAGCTCAAAGCCCACCCACCCCATGGGCAGGGCTGCCCCCCACCAGCTCAGGTTGCCCAGGGCCCCATCCAACCTGGCCTTGAGCTCCTGCAGGGATGGGGCACCACAGCTTCTCTGGGCAGCTGTGCCAGCGCCTCACCGCCCTCTGGGGAAAAGAATTTCTGCCTAACACCTACCCTAAATCTCCCCTCTTTTAGTTTAAATCCATTTATTCTTTTCCTATCACTATTAGTGTAAAAA